GTTCAACTTTGGACATAGGTGTTTTGGGTTATATCGGCATACTTTAACATAAGGAACACCCTCCTGAAGTTTGGTCCATTCCTCCTGGGACACTGTATAGTCTATATGATGCTTAATGCATTGTGAAATAAGTCAGAAAGAAATTGATATCTAATAAAGATGTTACAATGAAAGCAATTTTTCTGACAGGTATCCGTGATTTGAAGACTGTTAGTCCAAATTCCACATTATCAGATCTTGGGATGGACTCCTTGACATCTATGAAGATTCAACAATCCCTTGAGCAAGAATTTGGAGTGTTTCTCCCACCAGGACAGATTCGTAGCTTGACATTCACATGCCTTAGTGACATGGCTGCAAACAAGCAGGAAGAACAATCGTCACAAGGTACACAATTGCTTCTTCTGAATGGAAGTTAATTTGCTGAGTCATGAAAGTTGGGGGGGGGGGAAGGAAAGCAAATTACATACTGAACATCTTGATATCATATTATATTTACAGTGGTCAGCTTTGCACAGAACTTAAAGCTGATTCATTCAGTGATGTGGATACTGGGTTTAGTAACAGGAAGTTATTTAACTGGCTATGAGTGTCTGCTGTTATGGAACCCAATACTTCATCTGATACACTCAGCCCAGTACACATGTTCATGAACTCTTCCTTTAACGTGCATTTTAATGTTGCTTTACTGTGTCAAACTGGAAAGTTTGAGCTCACGAGTAAAATATCTAGAATCTGCTGTGTTTGCAGCTCTGTCTGTTGATGATGGACCTATTGAGGGGCTGCAGTTGTTGCTGCATGTGACAGGAGATGAGGCATCTGCAGCGCAGCCTGTTGTGCACCTGCCATCAGCAGCTGGAGCTGAACCAGATACAGCAGATGATGTGAAGGCTGGACCATTGCTTTTCATGTTAACTGGGGCAGAAGGAGTTGCATGCATCCTTGAGCCTCTGGCGAAGAACCTCAAGTACCAGATAGTGTGCCTACAGCTGAACTACAGAGACATTGGACAGACAATTCAAGACATAGCACAGTCCCTGGTACCGGTATGTCTAGCTCACCTTTTAAATAATCCTTTCACTGATCCAGTTAATTTACAACATTTCTACAGAATATCAGAATTATGCAGGAATTAATTTTCTGATTAGGGACTGGAAATAACTTCTTGGAATAGAGTTCTTTAGAAGCTGATGATATCTTAGTTGCTCAAGACACTTCCTGTCTTTTGTGGATCTTGAAGTAACATTATTGTGGGCACAAAAGCTTGCTGCTGGACCCTGTCCTAAGCTAAATAAGTCCAGTCCACTTCCTCGCACCTTGTTTGTTTTAATATTATTCTTGGTCTGTCCTTCAGATTGTATTGTCCAGAATTACATAAGCATACAATTCTAAATCTGGCATGCCCTGCTCATCTCTTCCTGCCTCATTTGATCATCACAATATTCAGTGAACTCTAGAAATTGTGAAGCTCCTCAGTATGCAGTTTTCTCCTCTAACTTTATGCTTGTTATGAAGTATTTTCAGGACCCTGTTCTCATAAAATCTACATCAGTTTTCTTCCCCTGTGGTGAGAAACCAGACCTCACACCTGCAGAAACAACAGGAAAAACTATTATTTTGTTTATTTTAATTATTACTCTTCTTTCATTCAGAGAGCCAAAATATTTTGGAAACTGACTCATTTCAAGCTTTTCTCACATTTATTCTCCTCTAAATTTCTTTATTAATATAATGGTGATTTCACAAATATTTTAACTTGCTTTATTTTTAAGGGTTTATTGCCTAGGCTTATATTCTGATTCTGTTTCACATTCATGTGATGAGACATGAATATGTATTTAGTTTCATTTTAAGGATAGAATCACCTTTGTTTCATATTCCTCATCTGCCATTCTTGAAGATATAACTTCTTAGGAAACAAAGAATGCTCTCTTCTGGGATGTGGCACCATGTAGATATTTTGTTAACCGACATTTTGGAAGAACATATCGCCTCCATCTTCAGGGTATAAGAAATCCGTGAGTGATTTACCAGTGTGAGCAGATGTCTGTAGACTGAGTGCCAATGAAGACACCCGGCTATATAAGAATAGGAAGGGAAAGGAGAGGGGTCACATGGGGAATCAATAGAGAGGAGAGGTGAAGGTTCTGGGGATATGGGCCAGCAGGCAGCAGGCCAGAGCAAGTATTTGATCGTGTCAGCCATGGCTGAACACAGCATCGACTTGAGACACCACATTCAGCTTCACCATACCTCCATCATCACCACCAAGACCCAATACATGGATCGTATCATTAGGGAGGCCATTTGCATTTACATTCATTTTTATTTCATGGATCCAATGATCTCCCTGTAGGGCTGGACGTGAAACATGTCACATATTACAAATTCATGATGACTACACATCATTCGTCCTTAGTCCAATACAATATAAAATCAAGCCTGAGACAGATAGCTCAAGTTGTCAGGACAACACACATAGGTCATGGAAAAATCACAATCAAATTCACACCTTGCCATTCCACACCCGCTGGCAAGCCATATCATCCAAACAGTTACATTATAAAATACTAAAATTCATAACAGAAAACAGACATCATACATACTACTACACTTACAACAAACAAGTCTCAACAATGTATAATTCATGCACACAGACCATTTATTAACTCATAACTTTTGAGCCACTTACATGCTCAACAAATTCATCAATTGAGTAAAATGCGTTACTTTGCAAATAATTTTGTAAAACAAACCTAAATTGTTTTTTATCATTTTTTAAAACTGTGATATTTGACGGCAGAGTATTGAATAGCTTGATGCCTGAATAATACACCCCTCTGTGATAGAATGATAAATGTGTTGAAGGCATATGAAGGTGGTCATTCCTTCTGGTACCAATCACATATACAGAGTTATTGGTTTGAAACTTATCCAAATTATTA